TGTAAACGAAGGGCACAAACGAAGGAAGATGTCTCCGTTTATCAAAATCACTGTGTACGTGTAAACGGCCTCCCATACTGCAGTGGCTTGACTGTAGATGAGGTTCAGGTGTGCAGGTTCAGCAGCTGCTGGCACTCAGGAGGACTGGCAGGAGGAGGGAACCAGAAGGCTACACCCAGCAAACACACAGAGACAGACTGAAAACAAACACGAGACAGTAGGAAGGGGAAACAGGGAACACTAACATGCTCTTGTAATCAATGACAAACTGTTATGAATGTAAAGAAATTATAAACACATTGCTCCTATGTTGTCTTATGAAAAAACAGCATTTCTTATCAATTTAGGTTTTATAGAAGTGTTTTTATATACAGTAAGGCTTCATGATATGGCCCCAGAGCCCGATCTCACTCTGAAGTCGTCGAAATCTGGCACTTGGACAGTGACTTGAGGCATCAGAAACCAACAAAAAAAGGTGTCCTTTAACGTAGGCATGATACGGAGCCGGCTGCCATTATAGTTAAACAGCACCGTCGGGTTGGGTCCAACAAACACTGACCTTCACCCGAGAGAGCAGTGTTTGCGTCCTCTAAGATTCTAAAGCCAAACCCTGTTCTTTTTGTCTAAACCTAACCACGTGTTAGGAAGTGTATTTTGAAAGAAGACAATGCATGTAACAGGCAGATCTTGACACAGCGTCCCAGAATGTCAACAACCAACACACCCAGGGTACCTTGCACGCCATATCTTGATGTGGAAAATCCATGACCAAACGTCAATATGTGACGAGGTCGGACTGAAAATGTGTTGGGCCCCATTGTGTTTTACAGTTTATACCTTCCAGTTCTGCATTCCAGTCATCTGCAGCATCTTTTTTTAAAGAAAATATTCAGGTGAAGATAAAAAAATGAAATAAAAAAAACTTTTATTTCAGTGTGTTGAAACTTCAATGACAGAAATGCTTACAATGATTCTGACTTGTGGAAAAAAATTTCAGCATTATCTTCTCTAACGAGAACATACATGTACTACATATGGAACAAGAACAGCTTTTAATTTACTTCGGGTTTGGCCTTGGATTTTAGGTGAAGTCTAATACAAGACAGGTGATTCTGAGTTTCCTGAGCAGACTCCACTTTGCGTGATTACTGAGCTCAGTGTGTATAAAGTCAATATTTACTGTCATCTGCTTCATTTATTTAAAGATTAAAATGTTATTACTATGTCTCATCATGCATACACAGCTCTGATTTGTTGCTGTCCTGCAGCAGGAGGAGGTCCCTCTGGTGTAAGCCAGTCTGGTGACCACATGGTGGCAGTGTTGCACTGAGCAGCTGAAGGCTTCTAAGGATGAGGAAGAGTTTCATCACATCTGCAGCTGCAGATTTCGACAGGGGGCTTTTCTCAATTGTCGATTTAGTGCTTCCTTGTTTCCTCTCTCCTCCTGCCTCCGACCCGGAAAGCAATCTCAGCACGCCATTTTGAGGGATGTTTCAGTTCCTAAAATGCATCTTGAGGAGAGACTTTAGAGGAGAGACGATGCACAGGTGCACCCTTTGCAGAGGTCTTTTGGCACCCATGGCGTATGAATGATGCGTGACACACAGCAAGGATATACAATGGCAGCTTTGCTACACATCATACTTAATTCACCTTGCTTTAAAATGATGACTCTAACGTATGAATGCCTTATTTTGCTAACTGTTGCCTCGACTCCTCTTTCCAGGTGTCACTTCCTTGCTTCCTCCAATGGCATCTCAGGTGGAAAGGACGAAGATGCAAGGAGAGGAGGCTAGGAAAGGAATTGGGAATGTACAAACTGGGAAATGAGAAGGAGACTTGAAACACTTGGATTTGTCTGATGTATGACAACTGTTGAATAGCGCCCTCTCGAGGTGGGAATGTTTATTACAGTCACAGTTCTTATAGGACTTTGAAAGGAGTTCAGATTAACCATTGCTGTGAGTCAGTCCAAATGAATAAAAAATAAAAAATAATAACACAGTAAATGTGTTAATTTAACAAAAAATATTTGAGATCAAATTTGGTATTGAGACCATAAGGTGTTAAGTGTTTAACCAGTAAGTCCAGTATGATTTGCGTCTAAGTAGCAGACTAAATCACAGCCTCTTCTTGGGAGAGAAACCTTTTCAATGTCCATGTATCTACAGATGAAATAGGATGATTATTTTAAACACGAGGGAAATTCATATTTTTACATCTGAAGTAACAACGAAGCTCCCCACTGGTTTTATCTGCAAATGGCATATGGCCAAGTTATGAGATAAATCACAGTTTTTGTGTTACAGCTTAAAACATCCTGAACAGGAAGAGATTTACCAGCTTGGAGGTGTCTGAATGACGAGCATCAATAAGTGTAGCTGCATCAACAGTTTGCAGTGTAGTTATAGGAGATAAAAGTAAATCTAAATTAAAGGGAAAGTTCACCCCCAAATCAAAAATACGTATTTTACCTCTTACTATCTATCAATATAGATTGTTTTGGTGTGAGTTGCTGAGTGTTGGAGATATCAGCAGTAGAGATGTCTGCCTTCTCTCCAGTATAATAGAACTAGATGTCACTCAGCTTGTGGTGCTCAAAGCGCCAAAAAAATACATTTGAAAAACTCCACAGCAATGTCTCTCTCCAGAAGCCATGACCCAGTTACTGAAGATAATCCACAGACCTTGTTGTGAGCAGTTTCATGTAGAAACTATTTTCTGTCTACTGAACTACAGCCACCAAATGTATCACTGTGCCGAAGGAAGCGTGCATCTACTGCTAGCTCACCCAGCACCACTAAGCTAGCTAACGTTACAGCTCAGTGGAGACATCATTGAAGGCCACCGTGGCTTTGTCACAGGATGAACTGTTGATAAGAGCATAGTTCCCTGCAATTTCTGCAGCAAGGAATTTTCGTACCATTGGAGTACTTCATGCCTGAAATATCACCTCAATGCAAGCATTTATTAGTGAACCCGGAGGTCCAAGCTAGCAAAACCTCCGATGCTAGCGCTAGCATCCAGCCTCCTCGAACCACATTCGACCAGGTGTTTAGACACAAACTGGGTAAGTCTACCTGTGGCTGACTAACTTATCCTCTTGCAAAATGGACTGCAAACCAGTTTGGGTGGTAGAGGATAGTGTCCATCCAACAGCTTTACTACAACACATCTGCCAAAATTCATTTGACCTGATTTTTTAAAAAGTACTTTCACAGAAAAAAATAATGTACGCAATCAATTTAGATTAATTTATCACAGAGCATGTAATTAATTAGATTATTTTCTTACTGATTGACAGCTCTAATATATATAATCTCCCTCTCACCCCACTTGGTGGGGATGGTGTGCGTCTTCTTGAAGCTCAGGTCCTCTGGAGCCCTGGGAGTTTGAGGGTTCTGCGCAGTATCTTAGCTGTTCCTAGGACGGCACTCATCTGGACAGAGACCTCAGATGCTATACCTGGGATTTGCTGCAGCTACTCTCCCAGTTTGGGGGTCACAGGCCCTAATGCTTTTATCTGTACTTGGACTTGGACCTCGCCTTCCACATGTATTCCAGATATTCCTTCAGTCCCTGTCACTGCTCAGTCTTTTCACGCTCTTTATGCCTGATATTACTCTCAGCTGGTATTGCCACATCTACCACAACTGCCCTCTACTGCTCCGTGTCAACCACCACTATGTCAGTCTGGAACTTGAAGTCCCTCAGGATTTGGGAGTTCTTGTCCATACTCGGCACAGATCTTTCTGTACACTATCCCAGCCTCTTGGTTGTGCCTCTCGGTGTACGGTGTCCCAGCTTGCACCTTCCTACTACTATGTGCTGCACTGTCTCAGGAGCCTCTTTGCAGAGACTGCACCAGGGGTCCTGTCTGGTGTGGTAGACTCTTGTCTCTATGGATCTGCTGCTCAGGGTCTGTTCTTGTGCTGCCATGTTCCAGGCCTCTGTGCTGTCCTTCAGGCCGGCTTTTTTTAGCCACTGCTGGGATTTCTTGATGTCAGCCACTTCCCCTATCTGCGGATTGTGTGTGTATGTGTGTGTGTGTGTGTGTGTGTGTGTGTGTGTGTGTCTGTGTGTGCACATTACATGGCTTTGTTAGGATTATTTCTGAAAAACAGGCTGTGGACACAGCTCTGATCATAGACACTTAGTGAAAGTCAATAAAATGAATTAAAATAAATTTAAGTACTTTTTTTTGGGGGGGGGGAATCAAATTACTGATGTTCTTTAGAGAGTAGCTGTGTAATAAGCAGGACAGTGTACAGTGAGCAGGTCATTGAAATGAACCCGAACAGAGTGATGATATATACATATATATAAAATCTTTAAAAAAGAATCACAAATGGACACTGAATTATTTCAAATTCCAATGGCTTTATTTTATGTATATAGATTTGTATATATTTATATATATTTATATATTATATATATATACTTATGTAACAACTTTTACTAAGTTGCTTGATTATCATCTTTTGTTCAGCTTAAGTTCAAACGACATGACACTAAGACCAAGGCATTCCACATGATCATATCTTACAAAAGAGTAAAGAAAACAACATGAGTGTGTGTGCACCTGTCGCGCGCACACACACACACACACACACACACACACACATACATACATCAATGTACAGGTGTCGTGGTTCTGTTTGTAGAAAGAACTGAAAAATAAAAAGCAGGTTAAGAGACGAGAGACGAGCAGACAGAGTGAGAGTGTGAGGGAGAGAAAGTGAGAAACCAGATGAATTACTTGGAGCCAAACTGGAGGATTCTGTTGCATAGATTGAAGCAAACAGGAGGAGGATGTTTGATAGAAACAGACAGGATGAGAGCGACACACACACACGTAGACACACTGACGAAACACACTTTCATCGACAGCCAACAGCCCACCTGACACACACACACACACACACACACACACACACACACACACACACACACACAGGGAAGCACAGGAAGTTTTATTTTGGCTCACAAACAAATCACTGCTGAGGCTCAGAATCTGTCAGACAGGACAACAGAAGACACTGAGGTCGTGTCCTCTCTACATTTAAACACCACTGAGAGTCTACAGTCATGTACCAGAGCTCTGAGCTAAACGCTAACACCAGTATGTTAACATTACCACAATGCTAAAATGCTGACGTTTAGCAGGTATTAATATTCATCATGTTCACCATCTTAGTTACATAACATTTGCTAATTAGCACTAAACACAAAGTACAGCTGAGGCTGATGGAACACAGTTAGTTTTGCAGATATTTCTGCATAAAATACACAAAAAATGACCTTATGATGGCAGCCACCGATCACCGAAGTGATTATGATCAATTATTCAGGGGAAATTAATGCTTGTGGCAAATTTCATGACAATCCATCCAACAGATGTTTAAACATTTCACTCAAAACTACAAATGTGAACCTGGTGATGGAGACAGATGTAAAGTCGGAGGATCACTTGAGTCATAAAGATTTATCCTCCGAGGAACATTTGTACAAAATTTAACGTAAATGTATTAAATAGCTGTTAAGATATTTACAATCTGGACCAAAGAAATAATTTGACTTCATCTACGCCAAATAGAAAGCTTTTAAACAATATTGGGGGAATAAACTACACATAAAATATAAACAGTAATTGAATAGGTGATTAAATAAAAAGGAAAAAATCCAAATAATCAAAACCCGAGAATTTATTTTTGGTTGCAATGAGACTGACTTGGATTCATGACCTCAGTATTTCTTGAATCCTGGCTGCCAGATTTGCCAAACTACCGTCTCAACAACATCTCAACGTGACCACAAAGTCCAACATTCACTCCGACATTGACACAAAGCTTTAAATGCCGTCAACACTGTCACCACAACGACCACTTCCACACCCTGATAAAAACCAAACACAACGACAGGTAAAGTGGCCTGATGAGAAAAGTCAGTCTGAGCAGATATATAAAGTATAAACTCTGGTAGATAATCGCTCGCTTGTCTTTGAATCCTGCTGCTGTCTGTTAATACATTTTTCCGTAATACTCGTTTTCGCTCTTTACCAGAGTCAGATTTTTCGATCAGTTTCATCTCTGTGTTCAGTACAGAAATATGACATAGTTCATGTTTTAGCCTAGCTTAGCACAAAGACTGGAAGCGAAGGGAAACTGCTAGCCTACCTCCTTCCAAAGAGAAAATAATGTCCTACAAATCTAAAGCTGACTGAGTTTTATGTTGAATAATAGAAATCTTAAGAGGAACATGTTGTGACTTCAGCAGTTTTGTTGTGTCTTGAGGTTTTCATGGTGTTTTAGACATTAACATCCAGACAAGAATAAAATATATCTTTTTTTATGGCAGATTAAAATGCAAATCCAAGTAACTATCAGTGAAGGATCTTTTTTTAAAACTACAAATCTGTCATCACATCACAACCACCAGACTGTCAGTGATCAGGGAGTTAGATTCCGATCGATACTGATGAAACATTTTAATAAAGATCCATTACATTTGATGATTAAATTGTGACGAGTGAGACATTTTACTAGAGCTAAAATAATTAGCCAACAAAAAAGCATTTTCTGTCAATCAATTAATATTTTGATAATCAATTAACGTCAATCATTCTCAGATTTCAGCTTCTCAGATGTGATGATTTGCTGCTTTTCTTCGCCACATATGAAGGTGAACTGAATGGGTTCAGGTTTGGGACACGTGACGGAAGTTTCCACTATTTTCTGACATTACTGATCAATTAGAAACAAATAAAAAACAGCTGATTGATAATAAAACTCATCCTCAGATGCAGCCGTACATAAAATCGTTAGTATGCTCCAGTGGATACATTTCTAAATAATCACTTCTGCCCTGGTGAATAAAATCAGCTGCTCTATCGGTCGGACTCTAACATGAACACAGACATTTTTACAGGTGAGCAACAAACTCCATTATCCTCACTTTTTTCTCTCCAGCGTGAAGCAGCGGAGAGAAGCAGGAGGATAATGGATCACAGAGATCAATGGATGTGATTGGTGAGATGATGACGCCTGCAGAGCAGAAGCCTACCTGAAAGTTTCAGGCCTGTTAACTATCACCGTCTCCCTCCTCCTCTCACTGCACAGATGAGTGGGTGATGAGTTCAGGAGAATCTGTGAGTCTCAGTGAGTGTATATGTGTGTGTGCATGTGTATGCGTGTGTTGGGACGGGAGGATGAAACAGGTGAGAGGTGGGCGGTCGGACAGATCTGCTAAGTTATTTTGTTTCTGGATAAAAATGAGACGATGGGAACAAAAAAAGAAAAAGAAAAGAAGAATCTTAATCTTTCATCAATCCATCCATCAGAAGTCACACAGTTTTAATTTCCTCAGTGTGTTTCACCTCACAGTGCAAATACATGAGTGTGTGTGTGTGTTTGTCTCTGTGTAATGCTGCATGTGTTTGGGGCGTGTATTCGAGATTCATTTGGTAAAAACAAGTCAACATTTTGGGATGTTTCATTCCATACTAAAACATGCAGAACACAGAACATTGAACACATATACTGAACAGTTACTTTTATCCAAATGCAGTTTCTCTTTTTGTTTTTTTTGTTGATTTTTTTTTTTTTATCTCTTTTCGCACGGAGTGGCTTTAGGCTACACAGAACACGACAGAACCAATCGCACCAGGTTGGACATATTGCTTTAAACCACCAAATTTTGTATATATGTCATGCATGCCACATAGATGATATTATGTTTATACAAAAATAACACCAACGCCTATTACTGTGTATCATAGTAATTACAGAAAACAAATCTTTTTCAGTCTTTTTTGCAATAAAGTTCAACTGAGAAACCATATACATATATATATTTCTACGTACTTATATCTAATATATATATATATATATACACACACATATATGTACTAGATATAAATATATAGAGATAATATATAAATATACAGGTATATATGTTGAGTGGTTATGACTTTTCCAACTGTGATATTCCAGTTCGTTTGAACCATTTTTTTGTTTGTGAATGCTGAAGTGGACGTGAAGGTTCTCCAAAGAATTCCTTAAGATCCGACAACAGGAAGCTGTTCTGAGAAAAGGCAGTGCTCTGAAGAGGAAGCAGTCAAAATGAACAATGACTGGATTAAGAAGCGAGTTCCTTTTCCATACAGAAGTCCTATTGGAAAACTGAGATCTTCTGAACTCCGAAAACAAAAAAAAAAAAGAACCTTCAGAGAACTAAAATCAGGTGAATATTTTCAGTCTGCTGCTGAGTCTCGGAAAAACCAGAAGCACAAACAGGTCTGGAGCGTCTCTGATGGCGGGGCTGCACGGTGCACCTGGCATGAGATGTGAGGGCAACCAGTCCAACCAGTCCAACAGACGACCGCCACAGCCACAGAGAGGCCGTGGCAAAAGCAGAGGGACAATCTTATCCAGGCAGCAGGGAGGGACGGGGGTGGGAGGAGGGAGGGAGGGGTCATGTGACTGCAAACTTTCTAAAAACAAACTTGTGCAGAAGACGAAAAGAAACAGAGAAAACGACTTTGGCAGAGCATCCTTAAAGCTTTGCTGGGTGATGATTGGCTGATTGCCCCCTCTCCCATTTCCTGTCACCGACACAGACAGCAGGTATGCTTCATTCACTTATATGACAATATTTACATTGTACAGGTGTTCTGTCAGATTCAGCAGTTGAACAAAAACAAAGAGGAAAACACGTCATCGTTTGGAAAGGTGCGTCTCGTTCATAGCCAACGGACGCACGGCAGGAAGAGGAAGTGATGTCACGAGCGCTTTAACAGTCCTGCTCTCTTCCTGGGAAATGTTTCTGAAGTTTGTTAGTTGTATAAAATGGAGATGAAATCTACAGGTGCAGCTGTGTCCCGTCACAGGCTATGCCTCCTTAAATGTGTGAATTTCACAACCAAATAAAAAAAATGCGGCGTCCTCTCCTTCTTTGGCCTGAATTTAGACGACACATGTGGTCCAGGGCCGGCCCGAGCCTTTTTGGGGCCTTAGTCGTTATTAAACGGTCCCCTCACCCCCCAGTACGCAAACATGTACAGCAACTACAATTTATGAAAGAAAAATTTAAAAAGTACAAAAAGTGTTCGAAAAGTCTTTGTGGTACGTGCAAATATCAAATTTGAAAACACTCCATGATTTTGTCATGGAAACCCGAAACTTAAAAGAAGTTAGTTTGACAACCATTGCTCTAAATGACTGGTAACAATGGATGGACATATCCTTCAATACTGAAATGACATTAACAGAGAGACTCAAAGACAGATTTGTTTGGGAACCTTTGGTTTTAATGGGTCCAATCGGTTTCTGGCAACTGGGACCTGACACAATGTCAAGCTGGTTCAAATCATATTTAGTCTAACTGGGTCGTGTAGGGTCTTAGTGTATTATCCAGGTCTCAGATCACGATTTGGAGCGGGTCAATTCATCTTTGGGCGGTCTAACTGACCTTGAGTCCCCTTTTGGATCAGAGGCCATAGACTTCCTATGGGACTAAGATATTTTAAGTAAAAAAATAAAAGAAAAAAAGATGCATGTTGGGTTTAGATAGTTTTTTTCCCCATGGGTCCACTTCAAAGACCTCGGGGCACGGGGGCTCAAAGCGACTCATTGGTTTGTTCTATGATTCGGGCCGGCTCTGCTTTGGTCCTTAGGATACGTTCTCAAGTTTTGGTCCGTATTAGGGGGTTGCAGCTAGTTTTGGATGAGACACGCTGTCATAGGCCACGCCCCCTTCAAAGGAGGCAAAACCTGAAGCGGGACACAGCTGTGATCCTCTTTAAAGTCGTCAGCTCCGACACCAGTCAGTTGGAAAACAGCATCAGTCCACTCATTCAAAGAAATCAGTCATAGTAGCTTCAAAGTACAGAAACAAAGAAACCCAGAGGTTGGATAAATAATTATACACTCCCATTTAATGTTTGATACAGTTAGCTGTATTCACGTTGCATTGGCTGAACTCTAATGGAGTTGGATAACTGCGAAATCACATAGCGTGTAGTGTGTCACAACATCTTAGATAAAGTGAATATACTCATGTAAAAGGGGGGCTGATGAGACTCGACTGTTGAGATTCCAATTGAACGGCCGACAGGAAGTAAACAAGTCACTGCAGGTTTCTGAGCCCTAACATCAGGTGACCAAGACGACACACGTGGCATAAATATTTAGAGAGCTGTAAAAAGACAGAGTCCACGTTAGATTCATCTCATTCATGTACTGTACTGTCACCAAACTCTTCAGCCTATACATATATATTCATATATCTCCAAAATATTAAAAAGTACTTAATATAAAAATACAGAAGAATTGTAAAAAATGAGCAAAACATTGAATTTTATATGAAAACCATGCAAGAAAGATTCCCCATTTAGTTAAATAGTAACTCTAAGATTCAGGAAAGCAAGGGAATGAAAGGGAAGTGGTCGGATGAGAGAAGCGCAGGCGAACTGCCACCCACTTGCTTTTCATGTAAACATTGTAGAGGTCCTTTAAACTTGGTTAGGCAGTGACGACTGAAGATTTTCTCCTTGCTTTTTGGTCGTGTTTGGAGTAAAGGGCCAGGGGAGTAAGGGGGAGGATGGGGGTCGGGGTCGAGGTTGGGGGTGGGGTCAAGGGGTGAGAAAGTCCAAAGGAAACCTCGATAACAATGAGATAAAAAACAATACAGACAACCTATAAAATATGGCTCTGAGTTACATAGAAAAAGCTCATCAGTGGGGAGAGGAAGAACCTAGTCATGACAAAAAGTTGGAAATATGGCAGTAGTAGCACATTACTTCAATAACGTGTCCTAGTTCATAGATAGGTTGATGGCTGCTAGTCAGACTAAGAGGGGATTACACGCATCGCTGCTTCTGATTGGAAGATGATTCCTTCTTCTTTTAAGACAGTAATCTGCGGACAGCGGTGGGCAGGAAGTACTGAGCGGCAGCGGGGACACACAGAGGATTTAAGTCTACAGGTTGACTGGTGACATCATTAGTCTCCTGTGAACCTCAGCATGGCCGCCACACTGACGCCTGTCAATCGAAACACAGCAGAACGGAGAGAGGTGATGAAAATCAAACACCTCCTCTGCTGCCGGTCGTGTGATGTCACTGACGGCTGATTTAGTTTCAAACGAGGGAATGAAAACATCAGAAGTGGTACTAAGATTTGTCTTAAACACAGACAGACGGTCCAGACCCTGTTCAGAGATCCATCAACTTCCTGTCTGCTGGAACTGAACTTCCTGTACTGTAATCCAAAGCAGACTCATTGATACTAGAGTCGTTCTGCGAACCGAGAGAAAAAGGCTTTCAATCGGCGTTCAAACCCTCGTCTGTGGTCATGAGCTCTGGCTTAAAAGACATCGGCTGAAATGGTTTACCATCCTATCAGAATGCCTACTGACAGACCCAGAACACACTGCAGGGATTATACATCGGATCGGCCCTGGGAACACCTGGGCCGCCACCAGGAAGAGCTTGAGGATGTGTCTGGGGAGAAGACGAGATAAGCTGGGGCGACCTTTCTTAAGCCCTTTTTCCACAGAGATTCGGCGGTACGACCGCAACAAAGACCCCCCATTACAACAGTTTGAATTTTTTTATCAGAACAAAATGAGGCAGGTATAATGCCATCCCAGTGTGTGATTTGAGATAGTATGTTGGTGTTCCAGAAGCAAAAGAGACGTGATGGGCATGACATGTAACACAGGGCAGCACTCAATAAACAATAACATAGGAATTAATAATCATTTGCCGCTCATTTGCTGATCTCATCCTCTTGAAGATAAGGAGCTCCTTGACCTCATTGTCTGCCCTGTTTGTGGACATTTTTGGTCGCTATTCTTCTTCTTTGAGTTAGCTGCTAACTGCTGCAAGCTGCTTTAATCTCCCGGCAGTGGGTTGCACACATAACATGTTGGCAAAATGTCACACCTGTCCCGCCCTGCTGGCTCTCCCTTTTCCACAGATGTAGATTCTACGCTGTTACAACCTCTGCTGCCACCCCATTCTGCTGTTGTGCGTATCATGCAGATCAGGGAGACGAAAAATGGCATGAAATTCCTGCCTTGAACAGGCATTGTAACTTTAGTCTGGTGCCACTGCAACCCAGATCTAAATTTAAAAAAATGGACATAGACATGAATACTTGTCATCCTGTGGCAGTTGTGTCCAGTTTGGAAAGTCCAAACCTGAAAGATGTGAACTTAATGTTTGGTCATTCCCAATCCAATTTACACTTTCAGGTTGGCTGTCGACAGTCCACCTGACATACATTTGGTCATCTGCGAGGACGGCACAGTGGGGCAGTGTCTAGCGGGGGTCTCCTCACAGTGTCATGGTCACAGGCTGTCATTTCTGATTGGTTGCAATACATCAAGAGGGCGGGTCTTATCTAACATGAGTCTTTCAAGGGGGAGGAAGGAGATAAGAACGCAAGAAAAGTTGACATTTAATAGCATGATGGGGAATGAATGATAACATCATCTCTGAAGTGTTCTCGTTTCTGTTTATTGTTCACATAAATGAGCCGAAACCAACATTGAGCTCTGTGCACGTGTTGTTAAAATGAAAGGAGAGCCGGAGTGGACTGGTTCTGACCACACGGTGAGTCAGTGACGCTGCAGAGGACGAGTGCAGGGGCAGCACAAAGATTCAAGGTTTCAGGCAAGGCTGTGTCCTTTCTTGTTGTTGGCAATCAAGCCCTTCGGTGTATGCTGTGGCTAATTTTATCAGCGCTACCTCTGCTGTGAAACAGCAAGAAAGGCACCGCTGGCCAACTGGGGAGTACCCGCCTTTTGCCCAATGTGAGCTGGGATGTGTTCCAGCCCTTTGCAACCCTGCACGAGTGTGTGCGGGTAGATCACATTCACAAGGAACAAGATTTAGGGCCACACGGCCTGTACGCAGATTATTAAGACACCCACTGTAGTTCAGAGGGGTATCTCAGGGCCTGAACTGCACTGATGCTGTTTCCTTTGCATGATTACTGATGAGTCTGTTGTGGTAACAGGAAGTTCAGTCCTACAGACAGGAAGTTAGTGGAACCGTAAACAGACGCTGCTGCAGACTAACACATATGTGGTTGTCTAAACAGAATCTCAAATATTCATTCCTAAATTATCATGCGACAACACGAATGAAACATAACATGCATCCTACTGGAGGGGAAACATGAACCACACTCCTGTTTCCTATCGACAATGTGGACGTACTTTAGGGGGGCAGAGAGAACCAGAACCCTGACTGGATGAGATGAGGTTGGACCCCCACTGAGCAGAGAGCGAGCTCTCTCTGGACGCCGCCATGTTGGATTATTTGTTGAAGAGTAAACATTCTGTCCTTCCACATGCAACACAGCTGCTAAAGAAAAACCAACGCATACAGACACGATAAAGGGAAGAACATTTTTTTAACAGCTGAACCTTGACGACTGTCGTGTTGCAGTCACAAGACATTCTCAGGAGTTTGAATCAGCCTTCAATTAACATTCTTTAGAGGTTTTAAAAACAAACAAACAAAATACAAGGTTACATTTTTGCATTTGCCTAAAAATCTTCTGATCACCAAACCTGGCTGTTAGCTGTGTAGAGGAGCGGGAAGCGTATGTACATGAGAATCACTGCACTCTTTGAAAAGTTCTGTGCCGTTTTTGAGAGAGCGTTATGCAGGAATGAAGCAAGTACAGAACACGACATGCTGCTGCAAGTCCCGCAAAGATTGAACCCAACATAGTTTAAAAGCTTTTCAAAAAAAAAAAAAAAAAAAAAAAAGAGCATCAAGTAAAAAATATACATTAATGGACAAAGACAGGCCTTCCACAGTGGAGACTCTGGACTCCACCCTCTACTGATACACGTGTGTGGTGGTGGTGGTGGTGGAGGGACAAACTTACAGGCAGAACGACGCCACAGTCAGTATGAAAAACACAACGTGGCAGGAATGACTGAGGGGGGTGACGATGACGTGAAGCATGTGTGTGTGCAGGATGAGGGGATGCAGAGTGACTTCCCTCCTCAGTGCGACAGTTCAGTTGGTGGGATGACAGATGATGCTGATAAAGAGGAGGGAGGAGGAGGAGGAGGTGGAGAAGGAGGAGGAGCTCAGATGGATGACTCGCAGCTCTGGGGGAAGGTGCTGGGTGGCTCTCCTCCTCCCCCCGCCCCAGAGGAGGCGCTGGGAAGGGGGTCGATCTCGTCTCCATTCTCCTCGATGGTGGGGATACGAGCCTCCTCCTCGGACTGGGGGACGAACTCAGGATGGGCCATGAAGCTGTGGATGGAGCTACGGGACTCTGGGCTCTCCAGCCCCGCGTACAGGGAGCTACGGAATGCGTTCACCACCTTAATCTGAAACAAAGAAAGGAAACAAATGTCAGAGCATATCAACAGAGAAAAATTGTTATGAGGTATGATGTGACGCAGGCAGCGATGGGACACATGGTGGTTGTGTTCTGAATCTGGGCAGGGGGATGCAAAACCACACAACACAACATTAACAAATGAAACGGAGGTCGGCTGGAGAAGAACATGGTGGCAGAACTAAAAACTAAATTTTACAAAACATCAACACAAAAGATAAAAAAAAAAACAGCTGAGTGCAGAAAGACAAACTGCAACAAAAAAATTCAACAGGCGGCCGAATGTGGAAAAGCATCAAATCACAACGGGTGCAAAACAAAAACACACAACCACACACACTCTCGTTGACATGATGCATTCCCAAACCCCTTACCCTAATGTTAACCATCACAACTAAATGCCTAACCCCAACAGATCATTTTTCATAGGTGGCCTCTGACTTAATGATTTACATCAGTATTTAGATGAACAAAATATCTCTATCCTCTTCATAGTTTACTAAACTACCGTTTTTATTTTTATTTTCATGATCTTCTGTACCTTTAAGGCCGTCACTGATTCCATCATGACTTAATCTATGATAAACTTGTTGCCAGCGCATTATCTGACCCTCTTTGGATGCCAGTTGTCTCTAACCTAAACCTAAATCTAACCTGAATCTTAAAACCAAAGCCGCTATTATACTACCTGGTCAAGGCAGGAATATTATGCGGTTATGCCGCTGCACCATTCTGTATAAGAGGTACAATCGCAGAATGGGGAGACAGAGTTGTATCACCTCTGAGCTGGGAACAAAGGTATTAACAGTGCCAAAACGATGTCTGTATCAACGGGACAGCCAGCAGGATGGAATCATGGACAGCTCGGGTGTGATATTATGATGACGTGTTATGCATGCAACCTACCGCAGAAGATTTCAAAAGTACCTGGTAGCAGCTAGTGGCTAACTCAAAGAAGAAGAACAGCAACTGAAAATGTCTGCAAATCGGGACAACACTGAGGTCTGCAAGCTCCTTACCCTCCGAGCAGAGTAACATGTCATGCCCGTCATGTCTCTTTTGATTCCACAATGCTGGCATGCTATCTAAAATCACATACGGGAGCAGCATGACATAGCCGCCATTTGGTTCTGTGAAAAAATGCAAGGGTGGCATGAAGAGAGGACTTCGTAGCGGCCCTATAGCAAGATCTCTGTAAAAAGGGCTCAAGTCATAACCCTCAAACAGACCTTTGGAGAAGTGTGGACCACACACACACAGGAGTCAGATACACTGACCAACTTATATCCCAAAATATTTAACACCGTTAAAGTCAGAATCTGAGATATTATTCCAAAACCATGATCTGATAATCTGAGGCTGTCTCTGTTCTTCTGGTTTGAGGATTTAAACAAGATTTTGAACCTGGCTGCAGGAATTTTCTTCCATTCAGCCACACGAGCATTACTGAGGTTCAACACTGATGTCTGCTGATCAGGTCTGGCTCACAGTCGGCATTCCAGTTCATCCTAAAGGTTTTGGATGGGGTTGAGGTCAGAGCTCTGAGCAGACCAAACTGGGAACACCATTTCTTTACAGAGCCAGTTTTGTGCACAGTAGATATTCTGATGTTGCAACAGGAGAGGACTTTCCCCAAACTGTTAACACAAAGTTTGATGTTGATTGTTTATGGGAGCTGCAGAGGACTGAGATTTATCTTCATCAGACAAGGGACCCAAACCAGGAAATACACACCCCGACTAAAGGATGTGTACATCCTGTCCATCCTGTTTTTAGAGATGTCAATCTCAATGGGACTCACCTAGTTAAATAAAGGATAAATAAAATAAAATAAAATAGAGGGTGGACAGCCTATTGACACATTCTTGTGAGAACATGTGTGACCTTACATTTGTCTTTCCTGAACCTGTTCCAATAAAAGTTCAGTATGTGAGGATGAACTCCTCTGTCCTCACAGGGGACATGAGTCCTCACACTGTGACTATAGAACCAGGTCCTCCTAATGCAGTGACAAACACAAAGGCCAGACCCTGAGGTGCAGCACTTTTTTTTGGTACAGGTAAAAATTTTTCTCTGATCACAGAGTTCCTGATTAAAGGGACAGTTCAGCCCCCAAATCAAAACCACATATTTTTCCTGTCACCTGTAGTGCTATTTATCAGTCTAGATTGTTTTGGTGTGAGTCACAGGGTGTTGGAGATATCGGCCGTAGAGATGTCTGCCTTGTCTCCAAATTAATGGTTGTGGTGCTCAAAGTGCCACAAAGTTACATTTGCTGCACAATAAAAAATGCAATTACATTGACAGATGGTGTGATTGCAATATAATTTGTAATTTTTTTGGAATGCTAATTTTTGAATTTCACTTTCACTGAAAAAAAAATCCTAAAATGATAATGCTGTGATTTTTTGCTGGGGTCTGTACCAAACAAACATGTTCCCTTACGGCTGGAACATGATTTGTGGGTTGGGGACATCCCTGTCGCACCACAATGCTTCATTTGTTATTATTCATATGTTGTGACACACTCAAAAAATTGCCGCCCCTGTGATTTCCTGGCCATATTGTGACTTTTATAATATTTTCATTAATTGCACAGCCCTATTGTTTAGTGTGATGACATTTAATTTCTCCAACAACCTCTGTAGTCTCATTTAGCCACTTGTTAGCAACCATCTTTATAAAGACATGTAAAGGCTTAAAATTCATGAGTGGGGTATTTACTGACGTATTTTATGTCACAGAACAAAATGTAAAAGTCTCTCTAGCTTGTGTTAACCGCCAGCCGTATTTCAGGCCTTTAACCAAAAACCCTCTGAAAAGAGGGTGCAAAAGTGCAAACATGCTAACTATTTTCTGGGTTTTAATACTCCTTCCTGCAGCACTCTATTCAGCTCTTCATTCAAGCTCTTCAATCTTTTGAAAGATTTCCACGCAAAGCTAGTGGCAGACATTGTGTTAATAATCACATCCACACATAAGAACGTAAAGGACTTACTTATTTCTGTAGTGATACGTATATTTTGTACCTATTAGCCTATTTGGTTTATGCCTAGAACACAACTACTTTTCATGGATTCCTGTTAAACTATTCCACAGGAGATGGGAAATATTTTGGACATGTGTTCCCAGGAATCTCATTCCCTGGCATGAAACCCTAATTCAGACAAGGTTCTCGTACAGCTGGGCCACAAGTTTGAATACTACTGTACAATATTTAAACTTCAGTGTGCAGCTGCTATGGAAATTCACTCACACATTTGCAATTAATCAAATTTTGATGCACAAATAAATATGTATAAATACCAAAAACCAACTGACATGCAGGAAAACTGTGACATTTGCAGCCCCTGGAGGTCTGAGGCCCACTTTGGCAACCAGTAATTCAGCCCTGATGGTGTCAGCACTCGTACAGAAAAATTTCAAACAATACCCGGGCCCAGTAAACAACACACACACTTGGGAAAAACAACAAACACATGCACACTGTTAAGTATTTATAATCACATTCAGAGCCAGAATCATTTTGTCCTCCAGCTGCTCTCTTCTCTCTGCCTTAAGTCGTTTCCTCTGTCATGAATCCACAGAGGCTGCAGCTGATCACACTGATTTATACGCACCAGCAGACACTCTTCATCATAATTAATAACCCTGCAGTTCAAAGCTCTCTATTACTGAACCACGGGAGAGCTGCAGGCTGAGCACTGCAGCTTAGAGCATACATGCAACCATCGCACACACAACCATCACACCATCACACACACACACACACAAAGCTCACAAGTTAAAAAGCTCTTGGCTGTTAAACCATGAGAGACTTGCTGAGCCTGACAGATTTAACCCTGCTCAGGATTAACCCATAAAATTATCTTAGTGCCCAGGCTGTCGCCTCAGAGAAGAAGAAGAAAAACAACAAAGAAAATAGAGCAGGATCCCCCCCCCCTCACAAATCAGAGCGATTCACAGCTTCTTTCCCTTCTCGTCGGCCAACAGTTGTGATCTGTCATCGACTCGTCAGCCAGCAAGTCACGTCAGGGTTAACAGACGCATGTTCAAGAGTCTAAATCTCCATAACATGCAGGAGGAGGAGCAGCAGCAGGCTGAGAGGGAAATGATGAAAGGTATTTAAAAAAAGGAGGAGAAGGAGATTAGGATGGAAGAAAAGCTACAGCAGAAGGAGGTGAAGTAGGAAGCACAGTGTGGAAACGGAAACACAGATCAGGTGATCGGGTTGTCTGCAGGTTAACTTTTAAAGCTTATAGATGGTTTTCAGACCAAAGAGGAAAACCCATGTGTTAGTGTGTCTCTCAGTACCTCCCTACTCTGACTGTGGCTCTCAGCTGAGGCTCACTGACTCCTACTGAAGATGTGAATCTTTAAAAATGGCTTGCAAATACATAATTTCTTTTACTGATATCCATCGTTTCATCTCACTTACGCAAAGTGTTTCTCTCAAAATGTGGAACTATTCCTTTAAATATTTTGCTCTTTTCAGCTCTAAGTACTTTTGTATCTTCCGACTGACTCTCTTTGGGTCTTATTGCTCTGTTATTGCTTTCTGCAGCTGTTTCAGAGATTTATTTTCTGTTTAAATTACTGCGGATGCAAACTGAGCATTTTCACGCTGTTGCTGCTTCACATTAAAATCTGTCCACAGGAAAACTTGGGAGGCTTTTATTGTAGACAATATAATTTAGTGGACACTGAGATTAGTGGAGCTTTGTTAGGGGTACCATCCACTATTTAATGAAAAAGTAGTGATATATTTGTTGCTATTTTGTCAGCGGATGAGTTTTAAATATCGTCTTGGCTCAGTGTGAGTGTGCTCCCATTAGAGAAAAATACTAATAAATGTCTTTTGACCTTCAAATTACTTAATTAAAAGAATAACAAAAAATATGGTTTTGAATAGGAATGCACAATATTGGATTTTTTGCCAATATCTGATATGCTGATATATAACAACTTATTTGGCCAACAACCGAAACC